AAATTTTTCAGGCTTGTGTAAAAACAAAGCTGTGCTGTTTCCACCCATGTAATTAAACAGTACAAGCCCTTAGAAGTATAACCGTAAATTTTCAGCTTTCTACAGGCCCTAGTTCTCGAAAATTACCGAATTGAGCGCTCCTCACTCGGGCGCTCCATGCTAAAATCAATATTTCTCGACAACTAAGGCTTACGGAAAGCTAAAAATTTCCGGTTATACTTCTAAGGGGGTGTACTATGCAGTTACACGTGAGGGAAGAGCGTAGCTTCGTTTTTGTACAAGCATGAAACTCCTTGTTTTTTCGATTCTTAGATAAAGAAAAAATACAGAAACGGTACATATGAGTGTCTTATGTGGTGTGCAATTTTTGTGAGCAAGTTGGACATCCGTAGGATTTGTTTGAACAAAGACATGAATTTTTTGTGATTTTTTGAATTTCGGTGCGACTCAAATTTTGGGTGCAGACTTACGGTGGGTCAAAGCTGGTGCGAACTTTTGCAAACCATCTTGTAGAGCTTGCTTTGCTCTATCGAATGGTATCTCTATCTGATGTATATGCCTTAGCTTTCAACAGATTTTTTCTGAAAATGTCCGAGAACTTTCTTACCAACCTTATATATTATGGATATATTCAACGTTGATATTGTTATAATTAATATTTTGTTTTTCTTTTTCGTTGCAACTGAACATGAATTTGCAAAGTATACTATGAGTAGTTATTTTTATATTTTGTTCAATTTTCACTAGAAATGTGGGATCAAAACATGCTGCAATTACTTGTTTTATAAAACTTTTTTCCAATGAATGGGTATATTGAAATAAATCTTGTAGTGTGCTCTTACTATTGATAGTATTTAAGAATGAATCTAGTGTTTCTTTATTTTTATTTTTATGCCTGTGTTGGCTACGTATTCTGTCTTTAGCTATTTTTAAATTATAGTAAGGATGTGTTTCTTTTTGTAAAAGAGGATTATCAATATTGGACATATTTCCATATCCTCTAATATTGTCATTTAATCCAAATGGATATGCTGTGTTGAGTAATTTGATCCAGAATAGTTCTTTATTTATCAAAACATTCTTGTCTTTATTGTTTTCTAAACTGTCTAGTATTTGAACTGTTATACTTCTATTTGTGCATGTTTCGAAGTGATTATATAGAAAGTTATTTACATCATTCTTTTTTAAATGATAAAAGTGATCTCTTCTTCTGCTTTTCAAATTTCTAGTTGTTAAACCTACATATTGTTTATTGCATTCATTACATGTGATGCAATAGATGACATTGTTATTTTTGCAATTGCTGTTATTTGTGCAGAATGTGTATATTTTTAATTTTGTTGAATTACTTATGATATATGGATTGTGATCCATTTGTGTTTACAAATGACACATTTAGAACAACATGCAATTGTGATGTCATTGTTACCAAAATTGTCTAGTGTGTACATTTTGTTAACCTTACTTTTATGAAAATGTGATTGTTTATAATAATTATCAGCATTGCAAGACGTAGTTTTTCGAGACCATTTAAATAACTTCCTAGTCGGCAGGTCTTTACCCTAGGAAGTGTGGGAGATAATGATTTGGCAAGGCTGCTGCCAGAATTCATGACCAGCCCTGTTTTTGTTTAATGAGTTTTGGAAATTTTAGTTTACAAATGAGTAAACGGGCCCCATGGAGTCGCAGGGGGGGGGTGTCCCCCAGGTCCCCACATTCCCACTGGTTTCACCCATCATCTCAGATAATCGCCGGGGGCAAGCGGCGATGCGATTTATGGGCAGGCGGGCACCGGAAAAATAGTTCGTTGATTTTTGGTCCGCTTGCAGAAATTTGGAAGAAAGTTGGCGAAATTAAAGGCGAAAGCTTGAAGAACAATCGCGGTTTCTTTATGGATTAGCTGCGGCGCAGTGGCCGCATTCTCGCGGACTTTCCGCGAGAATATGCAAAAATTTCGAGGGCCGCACGGTCCTTTGTGGAGGACCGCTCAACCCTCAGGTACTTTCCGCTTAGAGAAAGTACCTCAAACTTGAGTAACTAAACCAACGATGACACCTCTGCCACATAGAGTCTTACCTGCGCTCGACGTACGCCCGAAAATGCCTAAAAAGAGTCCGAGCGCTTGCTGAAAATTTGGCCAGCGCTCGCTGAAAGAAATTATTTGCGGAGCGCTTGCAGGAAATTTTGTATTGCTGCCCGCTGGCAGAAGACGAAAGTACTGCCCGCTGAAGGTTTGGCCTCGCCCCCAAAATTCTGCTGACCGCCTGCAGAAAAGCGCGAGTTTGCGGACCGCCTGCCCCCGGCGATTATCTGAGATGGTGTCCCCCTATTTTTTTAGAACAAGAGATATGGCCTTCTTATCAGAGAATTTGTAAGGTATTTGCAATAAAACAATATCTTACGGTAGAAACAAAAATAAACTTACCTATTTTAACTTTGGTTATTTGTAACTAATTTATAATGGGTAACAATATTTGATAAATAAGTTTGTGATTATGATATTTATAAAAATAGCATTAATCTAGATATAGCATTTTTTGTATAAATATAATTATACTATTAGATTATATTGATATTATTAGTTTACCAGTGCTTCACCTCTGCTTCGCAGAGGTTCGCACTGGCATCGTGAACCGTGTAAACTCACTTTCTGAGAGCTTGTCTCTCAAAGTTAGTTCGGTTTATTGCAACGTGAGCCGTAGTTAAGAAAGAACCATACTCGCTGTCTTAACCTCACATGATGTTAGTATCGTAAATCATTCCTCACTGTAATTTCGTAACGGACAAACTCCACACAACTTCAGATTAAGCCGCTTATTATAAGTCATGATGTTTAATGTTATTATTATTGTAAATTAGTAATAGAGTTTATATTAGTATCAACTAATGTTATTTTTTATGATTAGAAAAGTAAATATAATAAAAAGAAAAAGAAAAATACATTGGTATTTGAAGTGTATGCGTAAGGTTAACATGTTGTATCTGCAGTTGTTTATTTGCTGTCTATTTGCTTATGTGACTTTTGAAATTACGAAAATTTTATGTAGTATTATTCATATTTTAAGCGTATGAGAATCATTGTTTATTTCTTGTTTGTTTATGCATATTGGTTAACAAGTCATCAGAAATAAACTAAGAATCTGTTGAGTTGGAGAGTATGTAAAGGTCAGTGTAGAGTGAAACTGTCAAGACAGTTCGACCAAATTGGTAGTTAAGCAAAAGGTATGAATAGAAAAGTTTGAAAAAAAGTGGTAGAACAGAAGCAAGAGAGGAATGGAGAAGAAAAACTGTCATTTTGACAGTTCGACTCAAATGGTCGTTTGATAGAAAATGTGAGGAGTAAGGACAGTTTATAGTAATTGTAATGTTATAGTTTTATTAGATTTGTGAATTGTATTCAAAGAATGTGAAGTGTAATATTGAAGGAAGTTTGAAGAGATGAAATGATTGTAATGCAATACTCTTAAGTTGATATATTAAAAACTAGCAATTAGGTTTTGAAGTAATAATAGAATGAAGTCACAAGTGTGTTGTGGTATTAATGTTACTAATAACGGTTGGTTTCATTTTATTCGATTGGTTCTTCTTGTGGTGGTATGTTTTGAAGTTTATAAGGAGAATGGTGTATGGGCATACCGCGTTTTCCCAATAAACGCTGCAACTGTCCTTAATATGCTCTAGCACATAAGGGGTGCAACAGAGTGAGAGTGAGGTCACAGTACACTGTGGTAAAAGTCAGTGTAGAGTGAAACTGTCAAGACAGTTCGACCAAATTGGTCGTTAAGCAAAAGATATGAATAGAAAAGTTTGAAAAAGAGTAGTAGAACAGAAGCAAGAGAGGAATGGAGAAGAAAAACGTAAGCTGTAAGCTTGCTCAGCATTCATCTCAGACCCAGGTGCCCCTTTCACTTTTCTAGATAAGAAATAGACAGAACCCCCTTCACTTGCTCACATAATCGCCGGGGCAGGCGGCCATGCGAATTTTGAGCAAGCGCGCACCGGAAAAATAGTTCGCTGATTTCTTGCAGTCCGCTTGCAGAAATTTGGAATAATTCTAGCGAAATTTTGAACGAATGCTTGGAAAACAATCGCGGTTTCCTTATAGATTAGCTGCGGCATAGTGGCCGCATTCTCGCGGACTTTCACGAGAATATGCAAAGTTTTCGAGGGCCGCACGGTCCTTTGTAGAGGACCGCGCAGCCCCCACGTACTTCCCGCTGAGAGAAAATACCTCAAACTTGAGTAACTAACCAACGGTGACACCTCTGCCACACAGAGTCTTACCTATGCTCGACGTACGCCCGAAAATGCATAAAAAGACTCCGAGCGCTTGCTGAAAGTTTGGCCAGCGCTCGCCGAAAGAAATTATTTGCCGAGCACCCGCAAAAAACTCTGCATTGCGTCCCGCTGGCAGAATATGCGACAGTAAAGGGACTACCGCCCGCTGAAGGTTAGGCCACACCCCAAAATCCTGCTGACCGCTTGCAGAAAAGTGCGAGTTTGCGGACCGCCTGCCCTCGGCTATTATCTGAGTGGAGGGGACCCTGCTCCTCCTATCGCACCTGTGATTTATCACAGCTGATGTTCACCAGTAAAGATTACGATGTGATCAAAATAGCGATCCGATTGTACACAATTGCCTAAGAAAATCGTTGCATCAATATATTACCAGCAAAGATTCTCGAATTCCACTCATTATCGTGGTACAAAACGTTAGTTTGAAAATAGGTTTATATGCTTCTTATAGGTCAAATCACTGGATCATTCAATCTAAATTACAATGTTTTCATAGACTCTAAAGTCACCATCTTTATATCTAAGCATTATGAGAAATTAAGAATTTGCAATCAAATTTTCCGTAGATATTGGTATGTTACTCCCCGCAACATCAACTTTTTTATGAACAGACCTTCTCTTAGGACGGCCAAAAGTGTTGCAGTAGTTTGCTGCCTGTGATGTGTCTCGTTTGGTGAAGAGAACTGCTTTTGCTTGTAAAACGAATCTTGCAATGAATTCATTAGACTCAAACACTTTTACAACCAGTTTGTGAATAAGTGAACTGAGTTTGCTTGAGTCTGGGCTCAACATAGACCGCACATTTTGCCACAGAATCTCCTCTTGTACTCATAAGGATAGGAGGTACTATTACAGAACCCATTCTTGTTCCATGTCTCACATCTAAATTGAATTTATGAATACAAACTTGATGTTTTTTAGACTTGCCTCCCGTCTTCTCCACAAGGGATAGTTGTGGTGTCCTTTGAAGCGGAAGTAGGAACTAGAAAAATGCACATACAGGCATGACTTTCGTTGTGGTCGTTTAAATAACAGAAAACTGGTTTTTATGAGACAAAGCTGATCTTTTCTCGCTTTCGTTGGTATTTTTTCTGGGCTGTGTGTTTTCTTGATTTTTGGTTATTTCTCTGAAAACTGAAGGCATATTTGAACGAACTTAGTGATGAAGTATACAGAATTCCATTGGTTTAGATGCTGGTGATGCGTAAAGAAGGACTTTAGGCAGCAAAGTGTTGGACCTCTTCATTCGTAGTGAGAAAATCTTATCACAAAGCATTAGGCCTCTGCCATAGTTCAAAAGCGATTCCATCGCCTCGCGGTTCTTCACAACTGCTACGAGGTCATTGTATGCCGATCCTCAAAGATGACTAACTATCATAACCGAAATGCAAGTTGACTGGCTTGTAATGGACATGTAATAGTTGTCTTGTCGCGAAACTTGCGAGGCGATGAAATCGATTGAACTATGCCCGATGCCTTAGGATGTCATATAAGTCGTCCACATAATCCACATGACTAGCGTTCATCCTGTTTTACATCTCCACAATCAACTGCTATGCCCGCCTTAGGCAGTTAATAAAAAAAATCCTTTTACAAATTTATTCTGAGCGATTCCGGTGCAAAATCGATCAGTGGGATACAATAAGACCAGAAACTTTGGGGAGGGGGGATACGAATGGCAGGCCGTCCGGTTGCTCTCCACCGCACGCCTTTTCTATAGAAAGTCCATCTAAATGCAAAGAGTAAAACACTGGTGTAAACCGTCCTGAGGGATGACTCATGCGGACGTCGAACACAGTGTCATCAACCGGAGTTATTGCCTAAATAATGGGTTTGTTCTACTCTCATGCTGTGTTTGGCTCACTGTCTCCTTATCATGCTTTGTCTGAGAACGGAGAAGAGGTTGTATGTGAAGAGCGCAGATGAGAAAACACATCAAAGAGAAACTGGCGAAGAACAAGGAGGTGTTTGTGGAGGTGTTGAGGTTTTCTAGCTGTATTTTAAATTTCCTAGTGAGTCTGATTCTCTTCTAAAACATTATTGAAGAGCTGCGCAAAAGAGAAGAACCTTGAGGCAAAATTCGAATAATCTAGAGCATGGTAGTGAACGCCAGTTTTCAAAAGGCAGGTAAATAAATGATATCCGATGAGTTCGAGGAAGACTAAGTTTTAAGAAGTGGAGCGAGGAAATCTGAAAAGACTATCGCTAAACCCTCGTGCTGTGAACTTATGAACAAAGTAGAAAACTGTCAGGACTTCCCACTTTTGGCGAATTTTGATCTTAGCATGCTGTATTAAATGAGTTGCTCAAGCAAACATTTTATCAATTATTTTAGTTGTTACTGTTTTGGTTAAACCGAAAGGATTCCTGACCAGTGAAGGACCTCAAGAACATCCTTGAAATCACATCAGAAAGGCGATCGATAGTGTTTAAGAATACTGTTCAATTTTCCAACGGAGTGCTGCAAAGACCACTCTTACTAGAATTATTCGAAGCTAAACCGCATCAAGCTGAATCGCAAAAAATAGCTGCGTGCTCTCATGCAAATGCTTTTAGACAGTAGCAGCAAGTGCACGTTTTCCTTTTCTCTTCTAGAACTATGGCTACGAAGCCAAAGCCTTCGACAACATCAAACGCCGCGTTATCATTAAGGTGTAATCTATCAAGCGGTTTAGTACCACAAACCCGGTCTCTAGCAATTCACACCTCTAATGAAGGCCATTCCTTCGGACTATTAAACCAACGTTTCCTTGCAATGGCCAGACAACATTAGCCGGTATATTTCCGTGTTATGCCTTTCAACCACGCATTACCTGTGCTTCAATCAAATAAGCTCAAGAGTAGAGCTGTTTCGACTTTGAAAAGTGCATGTTTGATACCCACCAATTCCATTTTGAGTATTGGTTGCTGTTTCATTACAATAACCGCATGTTCTCTTGCACAGTTCCTGAAAATAAGTAATGGTTTGTTCAAATTTCTGACATTAAGAAGGGCTTAGAACGGCTATAGTCGTTTTTTTTAATTTTAAAGAACTCAGAAGTCTTTGGCTTACTTATCCAAACAACGCGACAAGCAGATTTTTTATTTCAACGGCACCAAAGTTTGAAAAAATTTTGTAATAGAAATGAACACTTTTTATGAATACCTATTGGTTTAGCAAACAAGAAACCTTGACGTATTTTCTAGGTAAAAAGTGCTATCTAGGTTTACCACAATCCAGTGACTCGAAATTCGTAGATGATATTACGTCACAGTTTCTAGTAACAGTTTGTTGCGAAAGTGAATCTTTGGCACCCAAACAGATGCTGTGAGATTTGATTATAACAGTAAAGCCCTTGACAAAGACAGCCCAAGTTCCGCTGCATAAGACGAATTCCAAAGTGAGAAAATTGCTCCAAAAGAAATCTACCGAGAAGTATATTTCACCTATCAGCGTGTGGAGTTCAAGTAGCTAGAAATGTCAAGAATCTCATTTTATGGTGAAAGGGGGATTTCCGACAAATTCAGATACTGTGAACCCAATTTAGCACACATTACCTCAAGACCTATGATTATGGAAGGACCAACATATAAGCAGAACCTTGTGAAGGAATTTTTCATTTTGAAATTTACCTTTCGCAGCAAAACGTAAGCATTATCTGCAGAAAAAAAACGCAAAATTCTCGTGTGTAAGCTATTCCCACCTTCATTGAATCCGCAAAACCTGGGCTATAGCACAGGGATTTGTCACAGTTTGCCGATGAATCCGTACATCCTAAAATATTACGTGAAGTAATCTCAAAAGGACGAAAATTCTACACAATTCTCTTTTGAATTATTGCTGAGAATTCTTGCAGCTGGTGCAAAAGTTGCAGCCTGCTTGATGCCGTTTTCGCTTTTTTATAGATCGGGATTTTAGTCGATGACAGGTTACATTGAAATAGTGAGTCATCGTCGAAATTGCTTAATATCAGTCGGAGGATGGAAAAGAAATTTATTTGAATTTTTATTACAGACGATTCAAAATACTCATTGGTACTTGTAAATGATTTTGCTCATGCTCAGCTGGAAGATGAATAACTTTCCTTACGTTCTTCCTTTTCACAGAGAGTAAAGGTGGGTAAAAATGCCTTTGCAATTTCTACCTGGTTTGATAATGCGGCTATAGCAATTTGCTTACAATTTCGAAATCATGTAAAGTCAGAGGCACCTCAAATGTTGATCACCAAATCACGTCTATAGTTTCATTGTATGAAGTGCAGGACGTCAGATTACAGAAGTTCACAACTGTTTTAACCTTTTTTTGAACGAGAAATCAAGAAATTACCTGCATTTTTCTCCTCGCACAATCCACACGTTTTCGGACACTTGTTTACCAGATCAAGCGCGGCTTTCATTACTGGGTCATTGCAATACTTTTTCGCTTTGGAGCAGTCAAGACCTGTACGATGTGTATATCAAGTCGTACAATATCATACTGCGTGTATTCAAACATTTTACATTTAGAATCGCTTATTGCATAAACAAGCGTAAATCTGAGTGACTTTCTCATGTTACAGATTATGAGAGTGTGCGAAAGGTTTAGTTACGACACTGATATCTATAGAATCTTCAAACACTGATAACGTAATTAAAGACTAGGTTTCTATCGCAAATGGCTCTTTTTATGGGCCGTAATTTTCGTGGAAACAAGAATGTGACCAAATTGACCTTTGTAATTCTCCAAGAAAAGCATGCTGTAAGCAGGAAGTTGTAACTGCTAATGCATCGACGTACGCAAATTTTTAACTAGCAATTTGCGGTCGCGGAATAGGTTGGCTCAAAGCTTGCACATACATTATCTTTCAAAAGGGACTGGGCTAGTTTTCAAAGGAAAATTATTGTGCTGTTACTTACTGCCGTCATTTTCACAGTCAAATGCGGGTGACCTGCAGCACAATGCACATCTCTTTGGACACAAACTCGCAGCAGTGTTGACAACTTGGTTGTCTAGCGTTTTTCCATCACTATCCTTCTGAAAATAATGTCCGTTGTCGGACCCACCGGTTAGTTAGCATTCAGACTATTCATAACAAATATACAACCGATTTGAGGCAAAGCTAAGTAAACACGAAAGTCCACTTCAGCTCCTTTTTTTTACATTTCAAACGTAGGAAAAAAACAGCAAAGAGTTTTGGTGCATATCCAAATTTTTTCGCACACATTAAGAAGGACTTAGGTACTACTGTAGCACGTACGCAAATCAAAGTGCATTAAAATGATTTGGACTTTGCACAATCATTTCAAGAGTTTTTCTTTTTCAGTTTCCGTAAAAAAAAGTTCATACTTTAATATCTCATATATTTTCTTAGATGTTTGCATCGATGGAGCTTCTCACGTGTCAATTTTAACGCGAAAAGAGGCTACCTTGAAAGTTTGAACTTACCGACCAACAAGCATCAGGTCTAGGCTCATTTCCGCCAACAGTTGGCGCACTTGTTTTCGCATTTGGACTTGGCTCTGCTGGATCGTCTGCCTCTGAGTCTGTCCCTGGGTCTGTCCCAGGGTCTGTCCCTGGGTCTGTCCCTGGGTCTGTCCCTGGGTCTGTTCCACCTGTCTTGTAAGGGTAAAGTGCTTCGCAGCTCTTCTTTGGCAGTTTGTCCTCGCAAGCGAACGCCTTCTCTGTGTACTGAATTTGACGTATAAACACATAACTACTGTAAGGATCCAGTAATTGATAAGGTGTTTGATTCCGCATAATTCTTGTTTGATGAACTTTTTAGAATTTAGAATGAATGATATTTTGAGTTTAATGACAAGCAGCAAGTTGCGAAGCGTAACACTTTCACAATTAGAGCTTTCCTCGATTTCTGTCATTCAAGACCAGAGTGTGATTCGCATTTTTTTTGTCGCGGATGGGTAGTACGTCCAAAACAGTAATCTTTTGACCTGGAGAGCTTAGATGCCCCCAAACATGTGCAATAACCCTCTTCCATAATAACCCAAGTTCAAAGTATCCAAGAAACTAACAATAGGTGATAGTGTGCGTGGCAGCACATTACTGCCCCGTTGAGTTTGTATTAGTCGTGAATATGAGCGCTGTCAAAACCACAGAAAAGTTCTAATTTGCGAAGGAACAGTTACACGTAATTACGTAATTTTAAGATTTGCAACAGAGAGTGAGGAAACTGAAAAGCCGCTCTCGACTTGCACCGGCACTTTCTGAAATGCACGTAACTTAATGTCGGTTGATATGCTCTAGAGTTGATAGAACTTATCGACAATTGGATATGTGGTATCGTTTTTCACAGTCTATTTTTGCTGCTTAAGGTGTCTTTGTAGCATTCAACCCTCTAATAACGAGAGAAGAACTCAAATGTCTCAGATCTAGACCACGCACGTTTTCGACAACGGGATAGGATTTGCTTAAGGAACGTACCCCTTTAGCGTTCATGCATGCCGTGGATTGACCGTGGGCTACAAAGCACATGGTAGCGAAGATAAATATTTGAAGCATCTCCGTTAGATACTTAGTGAATTACCAACGCTCTTTTTATTCTGAAATATATGTTGTTTATAAAGCAAAGAAAAAAAATGAGCAATGACTGCTTTATCTGCAAAGCATTTTTCATATGTTCTGCTTTCTATATGAATGAATGATTTTAAAAAATTTTCCTTTGCATAGTTATTTCTCCGAATATGAGGGCGCCTCTCTTGTTCTTATCAGAATTTTACTATAACAACGTTCGGCCTCCATTAACAAGCCTTTACTAGTTAGTATTCCCTAACGAGCATATTAAGACAAGTCGACAAGATCTATGAGTGCAGCTGTAATCGAACGCATACGTAGGCTGAAAATTGGAGTAGGGCTAACAAATAAAGTGTTTCCCCGAAAACCGCTAAAATTTTCTATCCCCCAGCTTTGCTGTAATGAAAACGTATGCATTTCTATTATCTTCTTCTTCTAATAAGACACTATGGGAAATTTGGTCCTCTATTGCGTCTGTTTCCTATGGAAATAAGGTAAAATAATATTACAGTTGTGTGTCGTGAGAGTGAGAGCAATGAGTTATATGAACAAATACCTGGCAGAGCGGAGTTATGCTACAAATCATCAACTGCGTACTTGTGGAAACTGATTGTTGTTCTGATTTTATCAAATAAAGATTGTGCATAAGCAATATTTTATGCAACAGGCTTTTGTTATTGTATTAGGTTGGTCCGAAAGTTCTTGCGCATCATTTTCAAAAAACCATAACTTCCTTGCCACCCGATGGATTTCGCTGAAATTATATATGTTAAGAAGAATCCATGCTCTTTACATCTGTTCCTTCGCCATGAATTACTTTGAAAAACTTCGAGAGTTACAAGCAATTGAAGGAAATCAGTCAAAATTGACATTTTTCGAGCTGGGTCACAAACAATTCTGAAAGTATTTTTATATGATAGAGAAAATTATGCTCATTACAATGGTACTTTTCTTATGAGCTGAGACGAAAAAGACCGAGAGTTAGGAGCAAATGAAGAGAATTCCTTCAATTTTGCAAGTTTTGAGCATGCTCAAAAAAGCCCAGAAACGAAACTTGCTCAGCTAAAAAAAGAATGTCACAGTACTTACGTTCATGACTTTTTCGCATTTTCTGTGACGTTCCTGGGCTTTTTTGAGCATGCTCAAATATTGCAAAACTGAAGGATTTCTCTTTATTTGCTCCTAACTCTTGATCTTTTTCGTATCAACTCATGGGAAGAGTACCATTGTAATGAGCATAATTTTCTCTATCATATAAAAATACTTCCAGAATTTTTCGTGACCCAGCTCGAAAAATGTCAATTTTGACTGATTTCCTTCAATTGCTTGTAACTCTCGAAGTTTTTCAAAGTAATTCATGGCGAAGGAACAGATGTAAAGAGCATGGATTCTTCTTTCGAACGTATATAATTTCAGCGAAATCCATCTAGTGGCAAGGAAGTTATGGTTTTTTGAAAATGATGCGCAAGAACTTTCGGACCAACCTAATATATTTCCGATATGTTCAGCCGATAGTGGCACACCTAAACTCCAGCAAAAACACTTGAATTTGGGCATCTACAAAGTAGTATCCTTCTACCAAATTCCCAAAATCGCCGATCTCAAGAGCGAACACGCCAAACTCATAAATATCAAACTATCTCCATTCAAATTTAAGAATTTCGAACTCACCATAATTCAAAAATTAATCACAGATGAGTAGATATGCAATGTTTCAAAAACTTTATCAAAGGGACTTTGTTTGAAGAGCTGTTGGTTGATGTTTCGTTGCTTCGGGTTTTTAGCGTAACAAATTTCACAATATCTAGTTAAGCACAAACACCCATTTTCACATCTATTTAACTTTTGCTCAGCGTTTTGCGAACTTCTTCGATAGATATTGCTGGTGCATATTAAATTTTGTTACACACCTAGGCCAAATGAAAAGAATCTGTGTTTAAGCTTTACTCTCATTTGAAAGCGTTGCGTTGGGGAGAAGAGGAGTATGATATGGTTTGTTGGCAGTACAGAGTGCTCTTTCAAAAGGGAAGCACTTATTTCTTTGCATTTCATTCAAATTTTCCATAGAAAAGCAGTGGTCAATACAGATACATATTCGAGTAATAATCCATATTCTGTTGAAGCATCATATTTTATTGCAAAGCGTGAACATTTCTGTCAGCTTAAGCAATTGAGATTCTTTTCCAACGATCGTAGCCGCTGCGGTTACTCATCAATCTCATGTCTTAAGCGTAACCTTCACAAAAAACGGTTAACAAGTGGCATGCTTGTGAAATATTTACAAAGATACGGTATATGTTCAGGCTCGAAAGGCACTAATTTCAATATTGGACATAGCGGTGGTTGATCAAAACTGAGTAACTTATTTCCGTCCTTCCTTTCTCTTTTTCTCGGTCATTTAAATCATCAAAACAGTCACCTCTGGCTTTTCTAAATAGCTCAAATCTTTCACCTCTTGAGCGAGGCTTTGCGATTCAAGTGAGTACAAGGATTAGTATGAGAATCTTAACATGTGTGAGCACTTGAGTACTCGATATTTTCATTTGGAACTATAATAATACGGAGCTCATAGCTATAAGAAGTGGATGATTTAGTCGAGGTTTTGATTACCTACTGCTCTTCTCATTCTTGCCTAATATGTATTCCCCGTGGTAGTATGCAAGTGTGATCTAAGCAGCTGAAGTGTTGGTGAGATAATAGGATGGCAATGATTACTGGCCGAATTTTCATTAAAGTTGGCAGATTTCATAAAGAGCCTCATAAATTATAGCAATGAATCTACAGAATTACAATGCTGAATCTCTCTGTATGGTTCTTTCAGTTAGCTCACAAAGGACTAGCAGGTTGAGGCCTCATACATCAAAAACCTTGTCGGGAAGAGTAAGTACAGCTCAAAGAGAGCTTCAAGCCCTGGTGATCCAGCAACTTGATTATACGTCCATCTTTGGTGTGTCTACTATCCTCTACTATAAATGCACTGAACAAACCATAAGAGTTTTCCAATGTTAGCTCGAGAACTGACCGGTGATTCATTTGAAAATGTTAATACTTCCACAATAAATTTGCTCCCAAACATGCTTAGAACACTTTTGTGTTGGATTATAAGCACAACATCGCGAATGACCGGGAAGAAAAGGCAGTGGGCCGCTGAGTATCATCGGGAATCTTGTAAGGTACCAATTTTGTCCTAGGTATGCATTTGTGGGCATCTGATTGTTCGAGCATGATGAAGTGTGGAAGTCGCTCCTCATGGAGAAGTTGTCAGATTCGATATCACATAAAAGATAAAGATTACTGTTGTGCCGACTAATGGACTGCTATGAACGGCGGAGAAGTCCTGAGAAAAGAGAAGATTACCGAGCACTCTAAACGCAAATTCGAGATCTGCTTTCTTTGTCTTTGAGACCACCTTTTATAGGAACATATTACCAAAACCTTGAGTCATCAAATCCCAAACACCTTTCTTTGTCTGCAGAATAATGCTTTTGTAAGACGATAAAAGCGAGAGCTTTTAGGCATCGATAACAGAAACGATTTCTTTATCCGCAGGGTGATTCCCTGAAGGAAGTTTTGAGGGTAATAATCTAGATTAGCCAGGTAATTAGTAACAAACGTTCAGGGAAAAGAGGTTTAAGAACTTGTTCGGCTTAGAGATGTGATCCCTCTTACAGTACTTGGTGTCATCTTTTTTGCCTCTCTTAGATTGTTGTTTATTGCATATTACTCATTGAAGGTCAAAGTGCCAAACCATTGAACCTCCTCCATAAGTTTGTCTTACAGTTAAAGAATCCATAAATGAAAAATAACTTTACATGCGTTTTTATGGTACAAATTTTTCTTAATTTGCCAACGCATCGTAGTAGCTCACTTATGTAGGCACTGTTCATTTATTAGGTTGGCTAATGTTAGGTTATAAAGAAAGTTCCCGGGCAGTTTTGGAAATTTCATTTCAGACTCGCTTTTTTTCGCACACGGTTGGATCTTAAAGACAAATACTCCACATGTTTCTGTAGAAGGAAGCCTAAGATTTCCAGTTCCGCGTCCAGTTTTCACAGATGTCAAACCGTATTTGACCTATACACCAAAAAAGGAGTTCTGTGATAAAAATTTCGCGAATTTTCCTTTTGCTGCCATTTTTTCGCGGCGAACAGAGAAAGCCATCCCATCTAAGAGTTGTTCATTCTAAATTAAGAGGCTGTCCACTTTAATACTGCAGCTGTGCTCGGATCTTACAACACGCACGCAAGATCTACAAGCTCTCAAACTTGCCTTCAAGCGTACCTGTTTTCGCAGCTGGCGTCGATTGTGAGGATCGTCACGCCCCGGTGATGGGCCCAAAAGATGTGCAAGACATTAACTCAACAATAATTGCAGCGATCAAAGACTTAATTCATTCCGTAGAAAGAAGGAAGACTTTGAACTCGTTTACTCAAAAAAGGGGGCATTTTTAAGGTGCAAAAATGGCCGATTTTCCAATTTTTTCAGGAAAATTTTGACAGGCTGTGCTCTAAATTTGTGGCATATTCTACAAACACCCCAGCAGAGTTCTACATAACTACCGGATATGAGCTCTTCGGCTCTCTTCGTGCCTAAGAAATTTCGCACTAATGGCCGGATTTTGAGTCAAGCTTTATCTCTACTACGCATGCTGGTGGCCCGAAGTGAAGTGCTCAGGGCCTAACAAAATAGATATGACTTGTAGACAACATTGCCTTTGCAGCAAAATTTGAGGCTCTCAAAAAGGAGCGGTCTGCTTGAAGTTACAGCAGTTTGAAAAATTTTTGCAAGTGCCCGTGAACTTTCTTTACAACCTAATAATTTTCGTTCTTAACGGTTTGTAGAAATGTTACAGATAAATTTGTATGTAAATGTATAATACCACTAAGTGGCGTAAATCAAGAAGAATTGGATGGTTTACTTTACTTGTCGCAACTTTTTATTCGATGACGAAATAGCGCAAAAAAACAGATTTTTCTGTCAGTCAAAGTTCATAGAAATGCTCCAAAAACAAACTGAAATTGGGTGTAAAGTGCAGGAGTCGAACGCACACATAGATTTCAATATCTCCAAACATTTATATGGATGAACAAATTCGAATTCAAATGCCTAAAAATTTTGATAGTTACGGCTATGAAAATTCCCAAAC